GTAATGCTTTTTTCCTCAGTTGGTCAGAACAAACGTGGCAGACTTGTTACTTACTTGTTCAGATAACAATATCTGGTGAAAATTCTAATTTGGGTCATATATTCCAAGATGTAGTCTAGAATCTGTGATTGCGAAGTACAGTAAATATCCACACCGGTGCGGTGACTGACTGCCACACACACACATACTCCTCAAAACATTAGATTCATCCGCGCTGGAGCCGTGCCGCCGCACAACCCACGCAAGCTAGATAATTCCGCACACAGCTGCAATTCCAGGTTTTCAAACAGAGATGGCGACAAAGAGGCAAAACTTACGGACTGCAGCTTTAAAGCAGGTTCAATATATCGAATCAGTCGATATATAGGTAGGCCATGTTTTAGGTTAGATTAAAACGAAATAAATAGCTTAAGTCTTTAAATATTAATTATTTTGTGCTATGGTGAAGACTAAAGTGAATATAAATGTCTAAATAACTGTTTGAAACGGAAAGTAGCGCAGCTGCTTTGTTTACAGGGTTGCCGGGGTAACGGCTGCATTTCTGTCTCCGTCAGCGCCCTCTAGTGCCGAATGTGTGCTTTCATTCAGCGTGTCTCCTTCACTCGTTCCGCCTTCTCATCTGTGCTATTTACATTAAATCGTCGCCTTTTTAAAGTTCAATAATCATATGAGGCTGTTTCGCTGTTTTTCCATAAATAAATTGAAGAAATTAATACATTTGTTATAGGCTACCGTGTAAGTTAGGATGTTTACATTTACATTTAGTCATTTAGCAGACGCTTTTATCCAAAGCAACTTACAAATGAGGACAATGGAAGCAATCAAAATCAACAAAAGAGCAATGATATACAAGTGCTATAACAAGTCTCAGTTAGCTTAACGCAGTACACATAGCAAGGGTTTTTAAAATAATATCATAAATAAAAAGAAAACAGGTAGAATAGAAAAAGAATAGAGCAAGCAAATGTTAGAGGCCCCTTTTTTTTGCTTTTTGTTAATTGTATATTAAATAAAGAGAAAACAAATAGATAGAATACAAAAAGAATAGAGAAGCTAGTGTTTTTTAAGAATAGAATTAGAATAGAGAGTGCTAGAGTTAGAGGGTCAAATAAAGATGGAAGAGATGTGTTTTTAGCCGATTCTAGAAGATGGCTAAGGACTCAGCTGCTCAGACTGAGTTGGGCAGGTCATTCCACCAGGAGGGAACATTTAATTTAAAAGTCCGTGAAAGTGATTTTGTGCCTCTTTGCGATGGCACAATAAAGCGACCTTCACTTGCAGAACTGGAAGGTGAAATTGTGATGAAACGATGGGTTTGCTGGAACCACAAGCAGTTCTGTCTTGGCAAGGTTGAGTTGAAGGTGATGGTTTAATTCGCACTCATGCGCCTAAATACATTTTTCAGTTCACACACATCTATTTTTAGTCGCAAATGCGAGTGAAATGCTCGCACTGTCGAGCCCTGAGCGCATCTGTGGCCACAGGACATCACTAGTTTCTCACACTGCGCTGGTGTGAACTTGATCCACTCTTCTTCCACTCTCTTCCATAGTTTGGTAACTGTAGTGGGTTTCTTAGTCATAAGTTTGTCTCCAAGGATTTTCCAGAGATTGGACTCTGGGCTGGCCATTTCATTAGTTCAATGTTCTTGGCTTTAAAGAACTGCTTTACACATTTTGCAGTGTGATGGAGACATTGTCTTGCATGAAAATTGCAGACTGATTGGGAGATGCTTGCAGGGAAGGAACTGCATGTTGCTGAAGTAGGTTCTGATAAACATTTGCATTCGCTCTGCCATGTAGCTGTATAAGAGGCCCAACTCCTGCTGCAGAAAACATCCCCAAACCATGACACTTCCTCCTCCACCTTTCACGGACTTCTTTATGCACTCGGGCTTCAGTCTTTCCCCAGTTTGACGCTGAACATAATGTTTCCCATCAGTCTCAAATAAATTAAACTTGCTCTCATCATTAAAGTGAACTTTGGACCAGTTCTTCTCTGTCGACATGCTTCTCAGTAAACGTTATTCTAGCCTTTTGATTCTTTCTACTGATGAGAGGCTTCGTCACTGCAGAGTGCGCTTTCAGTCCGACTTCTCTTAAACAGATTCTTCCCCTTTTCAGCACTGAACTGGCGAGCAATTCCAGCTGCAGTGTTGAACCGATTCCCCATTGATAGTCTCCGCATAATCCTGTTTTCTCATGCATTTGTCTTATGTTAAAGACCAGCCTTTTTGGGGGACTTTAATAAATTAGTGACATTGTAAAGCTGCAATATTCTAGAAATCAGAGATTTGGAACGACCAACTCTTGCAATGACTGAAAGGGTCATCCCTTTGGTCTTCATCTGGACAACCTGCTGTCGCAGGGTTTCAGTCACTTTAGAGTGGCTCGCCATCTTGCAATCTCAGTGAAAATTGGAGGAATGCTGCCAGTTAAATAGGGTTTGTCGTATAATTAAGGAAATTAGCAGACCCCCAAATGTGTGCGGTGGGTTTAGTGGGGGGTAATTGAGAATGAATGGGGGAAAGTCACGTGTGAGAGGAGGCAATGCCTCCATCGAGATATGATTGGATATGACTGGTTATGTTTGGCTGTGATTGGTTCACGCGATAATAAAAT